GACCAGAATACAATATAGTGAAAATATTAATTGCAGCCACTGTAAAATAATGCCTTTTAAACCCTGCACCAGTGATAGCTGACTTCATATAAACTGAACTTAACTGTATGGAGTAAACCATCGCAATTGTTGGAACTGCAGCAAAACACATGGTCTTTACTTATTTTCTGGATAACGTGCAAGGGTATTGGGACACTGCTCAACACCTCATGTTACACTGAGCAAATCACAGGAAAAAACATTTCATGCAATGACTTAATGGGTGCTTTTGAATTGTTTAAAGGGGTGTGGCAATCAGACTGAATATAAAGGTGATTAGTTTATTAATAGCTGGTAAAATCTTGCTTACTCCATACTAGAAATAGTTCCCCTCTGTTGTCCAAAAAGTTCTTCTGGTATATAGCCATATGAATATTCACATATTATATAAAAGCATCTGAATAACCTTTATGCAGTACCTAATATAAGAGAAAATATTCATATTTTCTAGTTTGGGTGGGAAATTTCAAGATGATACACTCACATTCTTTCCCTTATTGATAAGATAGGAAGACAAAGGATCAATACACGCCAAGTTAAAAAAATGTATCTATCATTTCGTTTCTAAGGTCTATTCTTTGGCCTGTATTTTTCTGCCTTCACAGATTTACATTTTAAAATTGAAACCTTCATTAGTAATGCTTCACTCTAGATCGTACAGGAAAAAATCAAACACAATTTGCAGCGCTATTGTGGACAAACCAATCTCTGCAGCCAGCCTGCAAGAAACCGAGATGACCAGGATGAAGTCTATAAGCCTCACGGTACAGGCCCTGTGAATAAGCCATTACTTTCCGCCAGTGCTTTTTTTGCAAGAAAAATGGTGCCGGAACGCATGAAATTATTTACCTCTCGCACGTAGTCAATCACTGTACACACACCCACACACGTCAGTTGTGTAACGAAACATAACGGTTGCTGCCCGCAGTAAGCACTCAGTGCGCAACCACACGACCCATCACAAGCCGAGCAGCGCCATCACAACCAGTACAAAGTACGTATGCATTGGACTCGACACACAAGCGGCCCCACTGTTTTAATGATTTTGTCGCCGACCTGCTAGGCTCAACAGGGTGATTCAAATCCAAAACCACGTGGACCAAACATCAAATTTTCAAAAGTTACTTTTAAAACTTGGAAAATCTGCCGAAAAAAGTGCCATTCTATGACAAAAAAAGCACTGCTTTCCACCATGTAAGTGAATGGCTAGCAAAAGTAGAGAATTGGCAATGCAGTCTGACCGGCAACAAATTCTATTTACTTTGTCCTTGACTAGGGGAAGTGCAGCAGTGAGCACCAATACATTTTCTGCCCCAGTGAGACCTTTGTGATAACAAAGCGTCTATTTTCCTCAGAATAATGGCGGGCATTCAGTTCAAGAAGCACCGATACCCAGAACAATGTTGAATGACATGACAGAAACAATTCAAACATCACACAAGGAAGTGGAAGCCGGGAAGGACAGAGTGAAATGGGTGGAGGCTTTATTGAAGAGGAATCCTATGAAGAAGAACCTGAAATATTAAAAAGTAAAGTGAAAACTGCTTGGGCAGCACTTGCAAGGAATAAAGCGTGAAGAGTAGATGGGCCACAAAGGGGCTATTTCAAGCTGCAGGGACTGAATCAGTCTAAATCCGAACAAGAATATGCCAACGGATATGGAAAACCAAACAATGGCTCACAGGCTGGGAAGAGTTAATACACATTTGGGGCATCAGTCATAGGACCATTGGATTAATTTCCTATGCAGGAAAAGTAATGCTCCGAGTGTTGCAACCAAGAATGTCACCCTATATGGAGAGGGCCGTGCCTGACATTCAAGCTGGATTCTGAAGAGGCACTCGAGATCATATCACAAATATACATTGGCTACCGGAGTGCAGCGAAGAATTTCGGAAGATCGGTCTGTGCCTTGCAGGCTACAGCAAAGCCTTTGTGTGGTTCATGAGAACTGATGCATCGTACTGAATGAAACGGGGCTGCCTCTACACTTGTTTGTCCTGATGTGTGACAGAATCTCGGTTTTCATTTTGTGAGGAGGAAATAAAAACTCGGGTTCATGGGAAAGATCAAATGTTTGAACCTTTGCTGCTTTATTGTCCAGAGCCTCAGGACTCCTGCAGTCAACTAACGATAATGCACTACTGGGCAGAAGTAAACTCAACTGTGAGGCTTCAGTACAAGTACAGAGCATTTATAATCTCCCGGTCATGTACACAGGCACAGAGCAATTAATAACAGAATACAGACATTACCATTAAAATCTGAGGTCATCATATTCAGAACAAATAAGGAAAATCAGCCTTAGTGACAATAAAATCACAATATTTCCAATTGCAGTGTATTGACATTTCAATTGAGTAAATTCCAGAAACTTAAACCAATCTTCGGGTCTGCTTATACATGTGAACTCAAGCTACTGAGGAACCATTCATGAAATTATAAGCTCATCTGTTACATTCTGTTATTGGAAAAGCTCTGACCCTGAGAAATGAATCTGCACCTTTCTGATTGGGTATAGCACAGGAAGTGCTCTGGGCTAGCTAACTAAATACTTCTTGGTAAACTGTGAATTGCTGCAGGGATTATGCAGCAACATTATAGGGCAGATTGTGTATTTGACTGAAAGGAAAACTAAATTCTTCCTGTCTGCTCTCTGCTTATAGCTAGAGGGGAGAAGAAGAGCGAGAGAGGGGAGGGGGAAGGAATGCCATTTTCTTAAAGAAACAGCAAAATTAAACAGTGACTTGGCTTGGAAAGATGGTGCTTTTGAGAAAGAGTGCAGGTTTGTTTGATTTTATAACACAAAGGCACATATAAGCAACGTTTTTCTGCCAGGATTTATTCAAATTTTCCCAACATGTATAACCATCATTATGGACGAGAAGCTACAGTTAAAACAGAATATGGAAAAACAGAAGGGTTTCCTATAGACAGAGGTGCAGACAAAGGTGTATTTTATCTCTGTATCTGTTCAATCTGTACACAGAACATATAATAAGAAAAGCTGGATTAGAATCAGAGGAAGGAGTGGCAATTCATGGAAGAAACATCAATTATTTAAGATAGGCAGATGATATACTACTGGCAGGAAGCCACCATGAAAAGATTCCTGATAAAGTGCAAAAACAGGACTGCATATTAAGAAAACAAGAATCATGCCTTTAGAAAAATCACAGATCTTTACTGTCAACAGTGAAAAAATTGAAATTGTGAAAGGTTTTACATAGCTTGGCTCCAGTCATCAACTCAAATGGAAACTGTAGCCAAGAAATTCAAACAAGACTTGGAAGGGCAGCAAGATCATTAAGTGTAAGGATGTTTCACTGGGGACCAAGGCCAAGATCACACTATTGTATTCCCAATCACTGTGTGTGGTTGTGAAAGCTGGAAAGTGGAGGAAGCTGACAGGAAGAAAATGGATGCATTTGAAACAAGGTGCCTTGCAAATGTCCCGGGCCAAGAAAAAAAGACAAACAAGTGGATCCTAGATCAAATCAAGCCAGACTTTTCCTTGGAAGCAAGAATGATAAAACAAAAGTCGTTGTACTCCAAGCACATCATGAGAAGGCAACACCTGCTGGAGAAGACCATCATGCCAGGAAAAGTGGAAGGCAAAAGAAAAGGAAGTCCAAATATGAGCTTGGCTCCATAAACAAGGCCTCAGCCTTGAATTTACAAGCGCTGAGCAGGATTGTCAAGAATGGGATATTTATTTATTTAGTTATTCAATTTGCATATCGCTACAATGGCCCATATTTTGAAGGGCTTTCATTCATAGCGTTGCCCTAAGTCAGAGACAATGGCAAATACCAAGAAACAGAAGGGCTGGTTCAATCAACAATGACTCCCTTTTTATCGTGTAGCATAACGAAATAGCATGCAAATTATGCAGAAGGGATATAAATTCTCCCAGCTCCCCTGGACAGTCGAGTCATAAAGGTCAACATTAACCCTAACTTATAATGACTTCTGAATATACTTTTACTGTCTGACATTTACTTCAGAAAGTAAATGGCGTTTGTCTCCACACTTAAGGGAGATGAAGTTTGCACTCAGAGGAAAAAACAATCTGTGGGTTACAGGTATTCCCTTTGACATACTCACTGGCCTTTATAGAATGTATTTTTATGGTACATTCAAAAAACATTACTGGCATCCAGGGCTGCTAACAAATTATCCCAATGTAATAAAATGAATAGAAAGAACTCAAACATACATGCAATATGTTAATCCACAATGCTGGAGTAGGGAAAAAAGTGGTAGTTACAAACAGTATTTAAAGAAATGACCCATGCACCCCACAAGAGCTCAAGAGTGTTGGAGCTTGCCTCTGAAAAATACTAGTCCAAGTGCCAGGTCTATCTTCCTTTGGAGAAAGCTCTACAGTGAGTTGTTTGTCCAATAGCCACCTACCTGATTGCTGCTTTAAGTAGCTATAGGGACCGGGGGGGGGGGCAGGGGGGAGGACATACATGTGATTAAGAAGCAATGCTCAGTTTTGTTCTGTTCCTCTGTCACTGATACTGACATTGTACTTTTGGCCTATAGTTTTGTCCAAATGGGTGTACACAGTAACAAAGCTATTTCCCTACAAGTAAAACATTTTAAAGGTTCTATAAATGTCTATTTACCAATTCCAAATTCACTATAATGACTTGCCGTGTTTGTCTTTAGAGGTTCCTAAGATTTAATGGGTCAAAATCCTGTGGTTATCTAAATGCAAATAGGATAGAATAATAAATTATCTGGTACTTTAAGTGGAAGGAGTGTAATTTACTCCAGCACTGGATTCAATAGGAACGTAAACCTTGCAAACAGAGAAGAGAGTTGTATTATCAGGAAAAGGAAACTGGCAAGCAAGATAACATTTCTCATTTTACTTCTAGCACCCTAGCTATTGCAAATATGTCTTGTAAGAGATTAGAGTATTTTTTAAGCATTAAAAGGAAATGTTGAACTATAAATCAACAAACGTTTTATTGGCTTTTGTATCCATTACATTAAGATTCTTGCACAAACCCTTCCATGTATATGATTGTCCACAAGCCTGCAAGAACATACACATTTAAGTGCTACAAAAAAAGAAAACATGCTTTATAAAATTATTAAACAATACTAATCATACTCTGCCATTGTGTTAGCAGTTGCATAACAAGAACAACAGATAAGGAGGAAAAAAACCCCCAAATAATATCAGAGTAAGAAAGCATACACTTTAAGGCACTTGGAAAGCAGCGGCTTTGAATTTCATGGTTTTCCTGCACATATGCCCATCAATTGAGCACTGTATGGGACAGTACCATGCCTGATTTTGTCTCAAAAGTGACAAAGGCACTGAAAGAAAATTGACATCAATGAACTAAGATTTTACCAACTCATCCTATTCTTGGGTTTCTGAGGATGGCACCAGAAGTGCATTCTCATAGTTTCAGATGCCATCCACCCTGTGTTGAGTATAAGGATGCATTCCATGTTACCCGTGCTTTTTGAATGTATGCTAAAATGCGGACCCCCTTCTTGCAAATTGGCCAAGAAATATTCTGGACTGAGGAAAATGTAAGCCTGGCTACAGAAGCTAATTTTTAAAGCTAGTAATAATAGCAGCTATGTACCCCTTGCAACTGCCAACACTGCCCCCTAGAAAAATGTTTTTAAAATTGTACAAAATAGGCATGCAGAGGCTGCGGAGTGCTGAAATGGCCAGAATTAACTGCTTTGCATAATAAATTTGGCCCACTGTGCAGCCTGGACTGCCAAAAGGGTGAAATGTAGCTTGGATACAAACTACGTTTAAGCATTGGAGCGCTCTATAAGGCTGAATTGCTGCTGGAATTTGCAGCAAACTGGTCTTTTTAGGGTTTTCTTTTTCAAGTGCCTTCATGGACTGCAGCTAGAGGTTTGCCCATGCCTGATCTAAAGTCCACCTCAACTCATGGCTTCGGCTCCAGCTTTAAGGGAAATCCTTGCTAGCCTTAACTAGAGTTGACTATGCTGATAATGAACTGCTTAACTGTAGCAGAGGAGGAGAGAGAATTAATTCTGGGGAAGATAGGGATTGTGGGTGGGGAGGGGGGAGAATATGCATTCCTGATTTACCAGCTACGTGTCCCATGGTGAATGCTATACAGCATTTCCAGCCCTATCCCTACACCGAAAATTGCAAGAGGAATGTTGTATTTGTTTAGCCTGGAAAATGTGGTTTCTACACCACACTGCCTCAAGTGGACAAGTTGTCCAGCTGCACACACCTGTGCAAATGGACAAGGCGGGCATTTCTGTTAGTCTTGAGATGGATTAAGGCTGAGTAAGTATTTTACAAGTAAGGTTTCATATTAACTTTAAGCTGCAACACATGAACACACCCCCCACTTCAATGCCTGTTCCACTGAAGGGAAAAGCACCTGAAAGGAGGCTTTGTGACTGCTGGTCAAATAACAAAAGTGTAGGAAAGGAAATTGCCTGGGAAGGAAGAAAGTTAGATGCTGCTGTGCACTGTTCCTTACCCCAAATCACACTCCGTTTCTTTGTGCAGATAAGGAAGAGGTCAGTGACTGTCTATACATTTACTCAAAACACACATGCAGCTCATTAAGATTGGGCAAGGCTTCCAGCTGGCAGGATTTTTGTTTGACTTCAAGCCTAATAGCCAACACCTGGAGCCTAAGGCAAGAGACACATAGGCAAAATCAGGATTTCTGAGCCCAGGCTGAATGAAGCTCTGGTTCTGTTATGCAGTAATCCATTGCTGGTTATCTAAGTTTAATCTTAATCTCAGCAGTGTAGTTTAGGGTGTGGCTGAGCCTTTTTGGTACTATTGTCAAACAAATGGGAATCAAACAGTTGCCAAATAATTTGAAGGCATTTTTGCAAAACACTGAAATCTACCAGTATATCAATCCCAGTCTGCCTTCTGTCTACCTCTGTGGTAAATGAACGGCCCAAGTTATAGAAAAATTCCTTTCTATGGATATGCCAAGCAGTGGAGAGCTAATTGATTCACACCCAATGCTAACAAAAGGGGAATTTTAACCCATAGCTTGTAAAGTTCTGGGTTGTCACAATGTGTCAATATAGCCATATTAGCAAACCATGGGTTGTTCATGATGAACAACCCAAAATATGGCTTGGTTCCTGGGTTGTGAACTCTGGTTTGTTTAAACCATGAGTTGTCATTACATGAAAACCCAGAACTGTGGTTTGTTTATGGATTGCTTCACTAAACTTCAGACATGGTGGACAAAGTGGGGAAAAGTGAGTAGTAGAGTGCTACAGAGATATACAAAAAGGAAATAGGTGAACTAGGAAGGGAACAACTCAGGAGCTGTGAAAACAAACTCCATGTTCTTTGCCAGACAAACCATGGGCAGGGTTACCAACCATGGGTCAGTGTAATGTGCAAACCAGGTATGAATACTTTTCCCATGCTAAAATACCCAAGATAAAAACTGGCCACATAATTTTATTGGGAATGTATATTCCTGTATACTAAACGTCATGTTAATATGTGATCATCTGATCTTATTTTGTATTACTTTGGTGAACATGCTAAGTCACTTCCATATTAACACACTTGTTTTTCATTCTGAAAATTCTCATATTTTCAGGGCATGTTGTAATAAGACTATGCTGAGTTTTATCCCCAGCTTGTGTTTGAGGTAGTTTTGTATGAACAGTTTTTTAAATCAATATCCTATCATTTTTGTGTATTTTAAAGTAATTACTTTAAAAATTAACTAAATGATTTTTCCCTTGACTATTCAAGATAAACTGGACATACTACAGTCATGTGAAACAAATCCTTCACATCCCTTCTCCATTGCAAAGCACCTCCAGAAGGGGATTACTCACAATGAAGAATGGACAGGAAGAAAGAAAATTGCTCCAACCCTCTCTTATTCCACCACACCCAGCAGCTACTTTTGTACCCAGAGAATGTCAGAATCCTGTGTTTGAGGTAAGGTTAGATCCAGAACACCAGTGGGGTTGAGATAAGGAATCAGAGGGACAGTGACGATCAGAAAAAGGATCAAATGCTTCTCTGATACAATTTACCCTCTTCTGAATGTGTATAGACTGTTACACTTGGCTGCAATTTAACATGGTATTTCCCCCTTACCAAGTCTCCTTGTGCAAATTCATTTTTCCAGCAGTAACGTTTCTGCTTACCAAAACTCTTAAAAATAAGTTTCCAATACACACTAGTTCTGTATGCCTGCTATATAAAGATTACAATAATTTACTGCTTTATTTTAAAAAGCTAATAATGTTCTCCCTCAAAAACATCCTAAATGATTAGCCATTTCACTTTGATATCAACTAAAGAGCATGATTTGATCTTTTTGGTATACTTCTGTAGATTATCTGTATAGTTCACAAGTGTTTGTGCAAATTTCCTATTCTCTAAACTGTTAGATATACACAAAAGTCATTATGAATTTCTCTACTGTATTCATACATTTCACAGCAAACTTTGGCCTTTCCTATATTTTTATTTTAATATCTCTTAGGAAGGCACCGTTTCAGAATTTTTAATAAAAAAATAAATATGTAAATTGTCAACATTAGTGCAACCACTTATATGGCACTCCTACGCCTAACAGGTTAAAATACATGGCATTCTGGGAAATAAAGAATTTTTGGAAAAGTCATATAGCTGCCATATATCCTCTGCAGAAAATCCAACTATTGAATGCAGACATCAGTGCCTGCTGGCATTCTCAGGAAGAAGAAAGGGAAGAGAGAATTACAGCTCTTCTTCATATAAACAATTGTTGGAGATTTTCTTGCTTCAGTTCCAAAGATTATCTTGATCAGCCACAAAATGGATTTCTTTATCAGCTCCTTTCTTTGAAAAACCATTTCTGGTATTCTGAATTGGAGCATGGTCGTAGCACAGGAGCTGGAGTGTCATCATAGGCATTCGATTCGGCTTGGAGGCACTTCTGGGTCTGCATATGGATGAATGTTCCATCCTACAAAGATGACACAGAATATATTGTCAGTTATGGCAAAGACAAAGCTCAGTTTGAGGGTCCACTTCTATGTACAGTGGTATGCCTCAGTTCACAACCAAATCGGGTTGCGAACAGAAATTTCAGGAAAATTTTTCCTCAGGTCACAAACTCCGTATTGGGTGATGATCACAATCGTGCCTGTCTTCCCTGCACGGGCGCGATTGCGCGATTGCGGGGGGGGGGAGATGGCTGCGATCGTGCTCGGGGGGAGATGGTTGTGATTGCGACCTTCTCCCCCCCCCAGTGCGCCCCCGAGCGCGCCCGTCTCCCCCCCCGAGTGCACCCGCGATTGCACCCGTCTCCCCGCGAATGCACCCGCGATTGTGCCCATCTCCCCTTCCAAGCAAGCCCGCGATCACGCCTGCCTTCCCTGAGTAAAAAAATATTTACGGCCAATGGATTAACCTTATTTACATTGAACCGTATGGGGAAATTTGACTTGGCTCATGACCAATTTGGGTCCCAACCAGAGTCGTGGAACACATTAAGCTCGTGAGCCAAGGTACCACTGTATATTAAATGTATACTAAAATCCGTTGTTTTAACTTCTTATTGGTCTAGGAGAAAGATAAAAGACTGGAAGGTAAAAGAAAAACAATTCCATCTAAACAATTTATTTGTTCAGATTCAGAAGATTTGGCAGCCACAGTCTGGCTAAAGGAAGCTTCTCTGTCACCACTAAGTGAATGGCAATAAAAGCATTATCACCCAGAGTTGCTATTATTGAAACTCACAGATCTGGATGTGGTTTTTGTTGGTCAATGGCAACAGAATGGGCAGAAATTATTGGAGGTCTTACAAAACTCCCTTATAGCCATGTTTATCACTGATGTTATAATTCAGAAATAAACAGTATGAAAGTTCTGGGAAAAACCATAAATCTGCAAACTTTATAGGGATCCATCAGCTGCTTGCATTCCCTCATGAAAATCCATCTGATATGATCAATTAATTTAGTATTAAGCAGAGGAAGAGTAGGACACACTCTAACATTAAACTTCATCCCAACTGAAAACATTTTTCAGATTACCCATAAGTTCAGTAGTTATATAATTGTTGCTGCATCACTAGACAGACCGCCTCCATTATCTTGTGAAAATCAACCCCTTGCTGCAATTATGTATCCTGATCTTTTGCGTGCACGTTTGTGAAGTACAGGGGAACTGTGTGCATCTCACTTGTAGTGCTAATGATCTTGCACTAGCATAAACCAATGTTTGAACAGTGTAACTAGTGTCTGATACATTAAGAAAACTGAAAAAAAAATTCTACTATTTCCTATTGCTGCAGAAGTGGTAGTCACACTGTTGCAAACATTGGTTTACACTAGTGCAAAATTTTATTACTGCTAGTGCTGGGGCATGGATGGATACTACCCTGAAGCTTTGAGTGCCCACGCTCTCATGCCATACAGAAAACAACATTCTTATTAAAAAGAGGCAGCTTTGCAGCAATTTCAGTGAGTGGAGGGAAAACAGGGTGGTAAAAACAGGCTGGAGAGTGCTTGGTACTGAATTATTCACTCCAAGAAGCACCGAGTTCAAGTGGAACTCTCATTCTGACAATCTAGGGAACAACATATTTATTTCATTTCTATACCAACCAATAGCCAAAGGCTCCTGGTTTGATTAGAAAACCTGGTTGGCTGAGGTGCTACTCCATTCACACAGAAATTCAGTCTTTTTGTTTGCATTTTACCGCAACTGTTAGCATCCTTACCTCTCTCAGAACAAATTTCTGATTTTCAGGTATGTTCTGAATACTGTCTTTACACAACTGCATGGTCAAGTAGTCAGTTCCTGGTTCCACAGCTGCACAGGCCTCAGGATGTCGTGTATTGTAACGTATCTCGTTGAGGGAGGTGTATTCAAAGAACTGTAAACCCCCAAAAGCACACATCTCTGCTGAACTTCCATTATACATGTGCAACTTGAGACCAAGAGCATTTTAGAGCATAAAGCACAAATATAAAAAACAAGTCCTAACCAAGATTTGATTCATACCATGAATTACATTTATGGATAACTAGCATGACTAATGTGAAAAAAGTTCTGCTGAGAATTAACAATTCATCAGCACTTTCTGGATTGCAACCCCATCACAGTTTGTTCAACGTGATTCCTTCGTCAGGCACTAAATGCTGCCGAGGTGGTGATGTGCCTATAATGTAAAGAATCAGACTCATTTACAGGAAAAGGAAAGAGGTCCACTCAAGGAACCAGTCAGGAGGAAGTAATAATGATGACTAGCGACTTCCCCAGCAATCCTGCACATGTGTACTCACAAGTAGATCCCACTGTATTCAGTGGGGCTTACGTCCAGGGAAGCATGCTTAAAATTTAACATTTATTTAAAATATTTACATGCATTTTTTTACCAGAAGGTCTTCAAGATGGCTTATTATACAAAACAAGAGTGTACCTGACAAAATGCACATTTTAAAACAACCATGCCAATAAAAATGTGATAGACGAACACAAACCCTCAGCAAAAGGCAGGCAAAGAACGAAGGGTACAGCATTAATACTTTTCCTTGCCATTAATATTTTTCCTTGCTCAAGAAAATGAAGCAATTTTTGAAAGGTGACTGAGATAGGAGGACAAGTGCCAAATTAGTATCTTTGGGGAGGGCATTTCATAATTAAGAGGCAAGGAGGAGAAGGAAGTGCGGTTTGGTCAAGAGGGTTACAATGGAAGAAAGCCATGGATTTAGTTTACAGAGTAACTAGCAGTGGAAAGGAGCCAAAAAGACTCCCTTAAGCAAGGGGTATGAAAAATGCCAACGCTCTCCTAAGTGCTTTGACTCTCAATGAGTACCGTAAGTTTAGCATCCTCAAGTCAGGTAGAAGATCCCTATTCCCACCCTCCCAATACATGTGTATACTCATATCTTGACTACCTCTGCTCCTCAGCCTAGCTCTGAGAAGCCTCTGTAGCTGGATAAAGCTCTAGGAATTAAAGACCAGGTTTAATTCAGTACTCTACACTTCAATCTGAAAGGAGCTGCAGTTTGCTGGGTTACAGTAGGGGAGGTTGCAGGACTTTAAATCTATGAAAAGGAAAGTATATTTGATCCCTTGACAGCAGTGAAATTGAATTCTTACCTGATTTTGTCCCATGCCATGACATGGATATAATATGACTCTGTGTCCTGTTATTTCATGTTCATTGGGAGGATTGTAATCAAAGCAGTAATTTGCCATCCCTCTATTCTTCAGCTAAAAGACAAGAGAAGGACATTAAAAGATATCAGCCCATAGTTCAGACCCTGTCAAGCACTGCACTTAAAAAGTATACATGTAGCTGCTTATAATTTAATGCTGCAACAGATGCAACAATGGGAACACTCAATCAACCAGCATCACTTGGATGCCACGAAACTGAATACAGAGAATACTGCTATATTGGTCTCCAGTTGTTGTTGTTTGAACAGACCGAATTGGCAGCAATCTCTTTTGTGGCCATACATTCATACCATGAAGTAAGAGAGGAAGATCTACACTGCAGCTTTTTAAAACAAGCTGAGTGGCCATTGTGCCAGGAAGGATCTATAATTGAACCTTAAGTGGCTGTGGAAAACCAATGGTCAAAGGCCTTCAGCTGGGATATGCATTGCTTTTATGATATAGTAATTTTGTATTAGCTACTTCAAAGAACTTTACACAGCTTGAGAAAATTGTTGTGCTGCATTTTTACTGCTTTTTAATTATTATATGGGAGAATTTGCTAATTATTATGAAATGATCACTGGAATACTTTACTACTGAAGCTAGCAGGAAATTCCCTTGGGTGAAGATACAGTGTGCCTACGACCTGTTATGCCATGCTAATTGGGAGGATATCCAGCACTTGTGTACAACTTTGCTGGGAAGCACTACATATTGCAAGCACTACTCCCTAGTGAAAACTGTTGTTGTATGATCTGACCCCTTCTTTATTTGCATTGAACTCCAAATGTCAGGTCCCAGAGCTACATAAAAGCAAGAATAATTTTCCCCTCAAGGAAATTCACAGTGGCATCACAAGCACAGAATTGCACAAAGCAAAGATCTGCCAAGAACTGATAAAACCAGCAGAAAGAAGGAAATAGAATGTAAAGCAAGCTCAGGAAGGCAAGATGTTTTCAGCTACAGGAAATACAACTCTAATAAAACTGGATGGAGATCCACAGGGCAAACGGCAACAGAAAAGCTACTAGAGAAGTATTTGCTGGCCAGGGCTCAGGGTGATTTTGCAGGCACTGTTGACATACTCTGCCCCATATTATTTTCCTATGCATGCAACACATGTATAGGCGCATGTGTGAAGTGCTAATTCCTGGGAAAGAGCACACTTCCTTGCTTGTAGCCAACAATCCTCCTTCATTGACAAAAATGAGGTGAAATGGCCCTTCATAAGTCTGTCGATATTCATGGAGAAAGGAGGGGAATAATTTGCATGGGCTTCAGTGTACAGCAAGGTACAGTTGCTGGGAGCTATCAATGCCTGTAGAAAGCTTTTGGCTGGTCACTGCTGGAAACAAGTTGCTGGTCTGGACAGGCCCCGAGAGCCAGGATGGCCCTTCATACATACGACTCCACCAGACACTGATGTTTAAAACAACAAACAAAAATAAATCACTACTTGGGAATGATACACTGCTTCAAAATGTTCACACACATTCATAGTCCTTCTTACAACAGTCCTTTAAAACTAGATAGCATGATGATACTATCTCGAGAAAGGTAGAAAAGGGACAAATCCTTGTTGCCGAGGAACTCACAATAAAGGCTTTCCCCAAAGAATTTGCATGCAAGGCTCCACCCTCTCCCAGGGAAGTGACACTTCAAAAGCTTCCACTTCCACAGAAATCCTGCAGCTTCGGTGAACTTTCCCCCCAGAACCCTTTCCATTCCACTCTGGGTCAAGTAGAGCCCATTCCATTTGTACAGGAAAAGATCACATAAGTCATCTTTTATTAACTTCATAGCTTATCAGAAAAGCATAGAAATCCAAGGTTTAGACCTTCTCTGCCCAATCTGGGAATAAAAGTAAGTAGTAAGGATAGCTGGCCAGTCCAAGGTTGGATGAAGTAGCTGAGAAGAAACTTCAAACTATCTTCCAAATAGATTATCTATCAGAGGAAGAGAAAGACCACCAAAATAATGGAGGTTGAGTTCACCCTCTGCCACCATAGCAAGTTTATTGTTACACTGAATTTATATGCCACCTTTTTTCATCTTGTGAGGTAAGGTGTGCTAAAGGTAGCGACTGGCCCAAAATCACCCAGGAAGCATCATGGCCAAGTAGAGATTAGAATCCGGATCTCACAGGTCTCAGTGTTGCACTTTCACCACCACACAAACCACACCCTCTTGCCTGCTACCCCTTCTCCCTTTTTTCCCATTCTCTGCCAGTTTTCCTCCACTTTACTCTGTCATTTCCCCCTCCCTCCCTCTTCCTCCTGCAAGAGCTCCTTCCTTCTGCCATCCACTTCCTTGCTGTCTTTTGCCCTCATTCATCCCACTTCATAAAATCACAAAGTTGGCAGAGACCTCTGAAATCTCCTAAGCCAATCCGCTGCTTAATTCAGGCTCCACGTTGCATTTTGCAACTAAAGCATCCCTGGAAAAGCATCATCCTGCCTATGCTTAAATACCTGCAGTAAAGAGACCCCACCGCTTCCCACGTTTATCGTGGGTGCTGCACCAGTATTGGCACATTTCCTATGTTAAGCCACAATAGTGACTTCGTTCCTTCTTCCCTTTCAGATGCATGTTGCTCTGAGCTGCTTTTCACCCTCCCACTTCTCTTTCCCCCTTGCATTGCTTGTGTCCCTATTTCTCTTCTTCCTTTCCACCCCACTCCTCGTCCAACACTCTCCTCATTCTCCCTTCCCCTGTGGATTGCGGAACAGACAGCAGTGGTTAGACCATCCCTGATGTTTGTAGCTGGCCCAGAACAGCAATGCAATTGACCAAGATGACAGGGGATGGAGGTGTGACCAGTGGAGCCTTGCCACAGCAGAACAACAAGCTGTGTGTGTAGCTTCAGGCAGGGTAGACAATTGTTCAGTTGTGCTGCCCCAAGCAACTACCCAATCTGCCTGAATGGTTGAACCACCTGTGCAAAAGTTCAGGGGTTGAGAAGTTCAGTATACCTGGAAGGCCAAGCTCCATGTTGATGGGAGTGCTAATTCCCAACTAGGTCAATGCCTGGCCAACCACAGCCATCCTAATCCTTACAGAAGGTTAGTACACCTGAGTCAGTGTTTTTATTCTCTTTCCAAATGCACCATTTGTAACACTCAGTTCTATTTGTTAAATTAACACAAATCTGATTTCTGTTTTACATACCATTCCAAAGAAGCCAGGTCTATCCTCTGGCACATGGAGTTCTGGGTAAATATTCTCCAAATACCATTTGAAATCCTTGCATTTTAGTTTCTCTCGAAGCAGTCTTCTTTCTGTCACATCTCCATAAGGCTCCTAGAAAAAAAACCCAGAGTACAATTACAACAGAAGGTGAAACTAGAGAGAGAAATGGAACCCTAACAATGTAAAATCTGCATGCAGCATATCCAGTTTGCATGATTTATGTCTTGCTGAGCTGATCAAGTCTCACCAGTCATATATTTAGGGAGTGTTCCCAAGTTTTGAGACTAATTGATAGGAATTTGTTTGACAAAGTATCTTTTACATTTATTACTCCCTTGCTTCCCTTAAATCGCATTGCCTTGCAATAATTCCAATTCTGCACAAATTATTTCCTTTCATTTATATACATTGTGCATGAAGAATCTCTCATCCACAAGCCTGCTAGGAACCATGAGAAATCCACATCCAGCTGGTCCGTTTGTCCCGTCTCCACCACCTTTCCCCTAGTCCTGCCACCTTCTGCCCTCCCCCAGATGAAAATGTCGCTGCAGAGATTGATGCTGATGGATTCCCCTTGCTTTCAGCACCACTGCACTGCATTGGCTTCAGTGGGGAACTTTATCACACCTACTGTACATGCAGCTGGGGAGGGGCTCATTTGGGAAGGGAAGGTTGCCACTGTATCCTGTACTGTGACTTCGTCAAAAACTGACCACTCCTGCACTGCACTGCAGCTTTTAAAATTGGGGGGGGGGGGGAAGCGGGGAGAGGCAGGAGAATGAACCAGGCAACCATGCTGTGATTCCACCCCTGCAAGCAATTCAGCTCTGGGGCCAAAAAGGTTCCCTCTTCGCCTCTCTATATAGCATATTGTTTTTCAAACCAGAAAAACACAAGTGTGTCCATTCCTTGGGAATTATAACAGTTTTGTGGAGTGGATCAAAAATGCCTCTAATTAGTAGGTAAGGTACTCTGCACTAAAAAAGAAGATAAATAAAATGTTGGGTCAAAGCAATCCAAACTCTGTGCCAAGGACAGTTGAATATTGCGCCTCTATAAATTCTGGAAAATAAGAATATTTCCCTATTTTCTCCTATTCTGCAAAAATATTTTGCCAATGTGTTCCAGTTTATATAATTCATTCTGATTTTGCTTGTTGCAGGGAATGGTATAAGGCACCAAAGCTAGCCATTTCTCTGCATTCCAGATTTTCAGCAGATTTTGCTTTCAAATTTCCAAGTATACCTTTAGAACCTTAAGGGCTACACATTTGCTTCTTTGTTGTTTTTTTTAAATTATATGTAAGGTTATTGGGAAGCAGATTGTCTGTAGTGTGCAAAACTCTAGCACGTGCATAATCCTGCTTGTAATGTTGCCCTGTTGTTACTCGTTAGCCTTCCCTCTCCCTTCCCTCTCCCAGTGTAAGAATGTAAACCGTATACTTCTCAGGAAAAAGATCCGTTTTTTTTTTATACTTGCACACTTCATAGTAAGCTTACCATGCGTGCATGTGGATTTCTGTGATAATAAAGTTCTTTGTATGAATCCATCCACACTTCCGCAGCACGGACAGAATTAGCCAAAGCCTTTGCTCGTGAGTAGGGAGCTTGCTTTGGGAAAACGTGTCCCACATGAGAACAAGGATGGATCTCAAGACTTCCTCCGCACTGCCAAATCTAGTAAAACCAAAACAAACAAACAGTATCAGTTACAGATATGCACACTTATACTCTGTCCTGTCAATTTGCTTCAATAGCAGTGGTTCGAAAGACTATTCAGACCTCAGAAATTGGTTGCATTGGGCATAGAGCCATGCCCCTGCCCTATTTCCCCAAAAGTCTCTTTCTATTTCCCAGTGACCCATTTTGACCAGCACCACTTTGTAGTGGCACCTACAGACTTAAAAAAAACAAAAACTCTGTGTATGTTTCAAAATCTATTCTAGATAATATCCCTGTGATTTTCTAAAAATAAACATTTTATTTGATTGCTTAAGTCATTTGTACGCATTAAAATACTGACACTAGTATTTTACATCGGCCCTCTAAGACATCTGGCACCCTCCAGATGTTTTGGGCTTCAACCTTCATCAGTCTTAGTCAATATGGCCAATGAGCAGGAATGCTCCGAGTTGTATGCCATAACATCTGGAATACACCTGCTCACAGAAGTCTATTCTAGCATGATTGTCACTGGCCGCATGCTAGTCTGATATTTCCGATTCTTTGTTTTCCTCCTTATGGATTTTGAGAATGTCAACTTTTAATTGTGCTCCTCTTAAACCTAAAGCTTCTACTGTGATTCCACTACCACGCTTGTTTCCACAGAGGTATGAATGATGCCTTCGTTAAAGGGAAGGGTGGGGCAAACAGGCAGAGTCACGTCTGCATTTACAAAGAATGCAATTTAGAGGCATGTGTTTTGTACACAAGTCAGCATGTGGCTGTGCAGGACACTTCCGATAAGAGGATAGAAGAAGCTGCCCAGGGCATTTCACACCATTAAATAATTATTGGCTCATTTGTGCATGAGATGCTTTCAATTGCATACTAAATAAGATCAAAGAGTATGAAATTGAAGTTGTGATATAAATTCAAGAAGAGATATATATTCTGTTTCTCAAAGCCCTGCATGTTCATAAGGCCAATGGCCCAAACTGGTACTCACTTGCACCCCAAAATCTGCAGGAGAGCAGCAGGGCACCTGAAAGCCCTGTGCCCAATGTCCCAGGTGCACGGGTTCCTTGGAAGATCTTCTCTGTGTTAAGCAGGAAGGTACACAAAGTACCCCTGCCAGCATTCAGCTGAGTGTGATTAAATGCCTTTGTGAAATCAGACAGCCTTCCTCGTATTCTGCACTCCCTTGCTGTCCCAATTGCAGCCAGCCAAACAGAACTGTTCTTTGCCACGCAGCCTAACCTATCTATACATATCCAGGCCTGATAATAAAATGTGAAAATTATGGTTCACATGCATTAATGTAGGATGTGTCACACAAACCCCAAGAAGCCTGGTGCAACAAAGTTTCCATATGAGACAAACGGTGGACAATATTTTATTAAAGTTTGGTAGGACCATCACAAGCCGGATAAAACTGCTTCATAGGCCACATCAGACTTGCAGATTGCCAGTCCATACATTAGAGTATTAAAATGTAATGATATAACTGCTAAGAACTGGATAGAGAAAAAGCAGAATTAACGGAACCAAACTTTGTACTCAACATCATCTTTGCAAGGAACTATTTTATTTACATCTTTGACTATGTTAGGTCTTATATATTTCCTTTGCGAGAGACATACTGAACTAAATGAGGGGTAAAGAGGGACTGCTTTTAGGCAACTTTTCCAATAATATTACTTACCCGGAATGAAAATTCAAGGTTTTCCCCTCCCCATACTTCCATTCCAGTGTCATATGAACCAAGATAACTAAAATAATTCTTACTGACAGCAAAAAGTCCACCAGCCATAGTTGGAGACCTGTAGGGGGGAAATAGGGCAAAGTTACTAGAGAAAAGGAAGATTCCTTCAAAAACTGGTAGTTCTGCCCAAATAAGAACTACAGGTAACACAAACTTGTACAAAGGAAATGCAAGCAAACCTGAGCCAGACCCTTCCTTTCTTGCCTTAGGCTCCAAAACTCCAGACAGCCCTTTACAATACAAATCTTTACAGGCACTTCACAGCTAACAAGAAGTTCCACCTCTAGCAAATTGAACAATAAGCCTCTGCTCATGTAAAGGTTGAGGCCAAACTGGGCTCAGTCTTCCCAGTCTTTCCCTTCCATTAATGCTGTGGGCTCCATCCTCCAGGTGGCTCGCACTGGAAGAGAGCCAGCCAGCAAAACCAACACAAGCCCTTTAACTGGGAAGCTCCTCTCTCCCAGTGTCTCATCGCAGGGGCAGAGACCAGGCAAGGCAACGGCTCTCCCTCCTCTCCTAGCGCCCCTCCAGCTTTTCCAAAAGATGCCTGCTCTCGTGGTCAGCCTGGAAAACTGTGGGCAGCAACCTGGACGGCGCTTCAAAGACCCTTGCTCCCTTCGATCTTCCTGCCCTCCCATCACCTCCTCCGCTGTGCCCCCCTTCAGAATCCGATAACAAAGGCCCTTGGAAAGTCAACGAAGAGTGAGTCTCTGGCCCACTCACTACACAAGGCATGCAATAATTATTTTGAGTGCTATATTGCTAATAACAACATCTAACAATAAAAAACTCTTAATATACTGAACACGCATCAGAAGCAGGAAATTGACTAGGAATGCAGAGAATGTTGCATAACAAAGCAACCAGCTGACCCATCTTACTGTTTAGGATGTGGAACTCTGATGAATCTTCCAAAAACTGCAAAGAGGAACAGTATTTTCTTCCCTGCTAAAACTTTTTGTGGGAGAGAAACCAACTATGCCAGATCCAGAGGTGATATTCTGTCATTCTGGGGGTGTATGCTCAAGAACAGCTCCCCAATCGATTCCCTTTTTTGTCTTTATTGCCACTGGAGCTCCAACGTTAGAGAGGTAAACTTGTGAAGGTTTCTGTAGAGGCTAGAAGGCCCTATCTTCACCCACCGTCCTATGGCCCCACGATGCCCTCCAAAAGATTACAGGATTGCACCTGTGATTAAACTCTTTTAATTGTTGTAAACTGCTCAGAGAGCTTCAGCTGTGGGGCAGTATAGAAATGAAATAAATGATGAGGAGGTTGATAGCTCTATGATTTTTGCTCATCTCATAAATCCACTGTATTTAATACTTTAAAAGGATAACTATTTGAGGCATGATATGGAGCTGAAATATAAAGAGCTACTTATTACAAATATACGAGGAATATATCTACATTCTAATTATCCTCTAGACAAATTAGGTAGATTAAATAGACAAATCCTCTAGACAAATTAGGTAGCTTCCTGATCAAGCCTCATCTTGGAAGCTAAGCAGGGTCAGGCCTGGTTGGAATCTGGATGGGGGACTTCAATATTGTGAACCACCCAGAGAGCTTTGGCTATGGGTGGTATAGAAATATAATTAATAATAATAATAATAAATGGGGCAAATTCACAATTCATTTACAGGGAAGTACAAAATGATTGACCGTTTGTTTCTTTAAAGTCAAAATAGAAAAACAAGCCACCAGAACCATGGGGGGCAGGGAGAGTGGAACTACCAGAAAACCAAAACAGACAAGTTTTAAAAATAATCTGAAAGATCCAAGAAAAGTGCATTGGTTTTTGGTAGTATACCCTGCTTTCATGCATGAAGCTGGCTAATATATTGATGTAGCAATTAAAGGAAAGCCAGATTATATTGACAATTCACATCTAATCCAGAACATGTTCATTAATTAATTGCATTAATAATAAATTGTTATTATTGCCTCCAAAACTCTGAGATAGTCTGCATTGTTCCACCCTCTCCATTTTTAATTCCGACAGAAATTGTCATCATTTTATATTTGGACTGTAAGACACTTTTAATTTATAGAAAGAGAAGATATACATTTTTATAAAACAAAAGCTGCAGAAAATAATTACTCTTCACAACAACCACGTGAGGTAAATTAAAGCAGGAGCATATGATTTGCCCAAGGTGAATTCCATTTCTGCACATGGATTTGAACTCAAGTCTCCAGGAGTCTAGTCCACATCACTGCACTAGCCTCAAAACAGGACGAAACCAGGAAAGCCAAGGCACAAAAAGAATTGCAGCTGGTCATAGGAAAACAAAGAATATACTGTGTGTGCTCTTCTATACAAAAGGAGGCACTGGATGGATAAAAAGCAGCTGAACTAATCAAAGTCTATTTGTTTCTGTCTTTACTAAAGATGCAGGCAGCTCTGGGCACATTAGTACAAAAGGAATCTTGAGAAGTGAAAGGTTTCAAAGGTATCGTAGGAAGAAAGGTGAAGAAATAGGAATGCCCAGGAGAAAGGATATCTGAGAGAAGGGATGGAAAATGGGCAGATGATTTCAAATGTTTTAAAAACCACCTCAAGAAGAAGAGGAGAAGACATTGTTTACCGAATAGAGCAGGAATGGGCCTTGCTAATGTGCTACCTACTCTACCGGAGGTGGCCTGCCTGCCTGCACCAGGCGCTGAGGAGCTTGGGCAGGAGGAGGCCTTGCTTGAAGGATGCTGTGGGCAGCTGCTCTGCCACCATGCGTGGTGCTGGACATGACGGACCTTTGGTCAGATCCAGCATGGCTTCTCCTGTGTTCTCAGCTAAAGCACTGCCTTCTCCCACACATACTGGCCTAAAAGGAGGGCCTTCCCTTGGTCACCGTGCCCCAGAGGTTCGTTTGGTGGAGATGCGAGAGGAGACCTTCCTGGCAGGTGCTCCCAGGCTCTGGAACTCCCTGCTGCTGGGCAAGTACGTTTGTGTTCAGGCAGGTTGTGGTATCGAAGGGCACAATCCTACATTTGTTTTGGAAGAAAAAGCCCTGAAGCGTCCAGCATAGCCCAGCCAGCTGTTCTGAATGGTTGTCCTGGCTAGGCTCTTTTGGATTTCCTTCTTTCCTGAAATTGTTTTCCCCACAAGCCTGCTGATACTTCTCATGTGGTATCAATTAACCTGTATAAGGACTGGCAGTTGGTAAACTGAAATGATTATCAGAGTTCATCATTATGATGGTGAATTTATAAATGCTCAGTCCAACTGCAATTTACTGGCCCATATATCTCTCAGATGGAGTACCAAGATCGTTGTGGGGCGTGTGGGGAGAGCCAGAGTCCACCTGTGGGAGCAGTAAGAGCAACATCTCCTAATTTTAAGGTACATGCATCTTGAAATGTAACTTTTAGAAGTGGTGTCTGGAGCTGCTTGTTTTCCTTTGCCCCCATGTTAATGGAGCGCTGGGCTGGATGTACCTTTGGTCTGATCCAGCATGACTTTTCATATATTCTCATGAACCTCTAGCCTGCAAGCCTAATCTAGCCTGCACAGGCTCCTCATGCGGCCTACAGCCACATCCTGCTCCGTTCACAGTAGCATTGAAGGAATCCCTGCTGTCCTCTGCCATTTGAGAGCTGAGATACGGGTTAGTACTATCCTGTGCACACAGAGGGATTCTGGGACTCTTAGAGTGTCATTTTCTTCCCAAGCGTCTCCCTTACACTGCATCCTGACCAATGGGAGGGGGCACGGCACAGGTAAAACCACTCCAGCTAAGGCAGCAGAAGGTGGAAAACTGCTGGACTGCAGTGAGAGCAGTGCCCCCCACTGAATTCAGCCAGCCCACAGGACTAGTCAACATGCCCCCATCATGCCCTGAAAGAGCTCCCCACCCACTGCATTGTGGTAAGAGTGACAAAAACTACTGGTTTCTAAACAGAAAGGTATGTTAACATTGCATGCTGGACAAGACAGGTATCAATGCCAAGCACCGTTCAAAGAAGTTTTATTTTCTTCCTTAACTTCCTGAAAACACGTCTACCCTGCTAATTCTACCTTGTTCCCCAAAAGCACCTTCCAACACTAAAATATTATAAAAACAAATACTGAAAACTCCCCATAACAAATCATAATTATTCCTAGAGATGGCAGCAGAGGGTAAGATGGACTACAGGACCATTCCAGCAAAGCTGTTGAGAGCCCAGCTTTGTGGGGCTCCTCCTCTTCCTCCAATATCTCCATTCAAGTAGGTTGTTATAAGAGTTTCGTAACTTTAAGAACTCTGGCTGTGCACCATTCACTTTTCCCATGGTGTTTTTCAAAGATTGCAACTCTGCTGTCTTGTTTGTTATTGATCGTATGTAAGCTGCTTTGAGATCCTTTCCAGCTGAAGTGCAGGGTAAAAATGTTTTAAATAGCAAAAACGTAATTTATATAACAAACTACTAGAGGCATAATTAAGGCCAATCAAAAACCACTACATGCCTGGGAAAAGAGTACAATTTTTACTTGGCCTCTAAAACCAAAGAAAGTAGGCACCTGGCAAATAGTTACGAGGGGGAAATTCCCCATATAGGATGGACCAAAAGAAAAGACTAACTCTAGATCATTCCTATCTTCTTTCTGCAAAGCCTGAATCCCAATCCCATAGTCAAAAATATCACCCACTATCAGTACCTAAGATTTGTCCAGATGGAGCTTCAGTTTATCTGTCCCTATCAAGCCCATTATTGATGCCGATCATCTCTTCAGAACATCCATAGCCTCACCCAAGTTCTCCTTTCCATCAAAGCAGAGCCAAGTATCATCGAAGTACCAGCCAAAGCAGAGCCAAGTATTCACCCCAAATTCCCCAGCAACATTCTAGAAAAGCCCATCAAGTAGGAACAGTACCATATTGCAGTGCTACTCATTTCCACCCCAGACAATCAGTCCAAAATACTATCATGATCAGTGACATCAGAAGTCGTCACAAACTCCTGGAGAATTAAAAGGGCCACAGTTCAAATCTCACTTGACGAATATTATGGTGGCCATTAGAACAACATCCTTTCTAGCCCCTACCTTTTAGGACAAACCACTGGTACTGTGTCCTC